TAATCCACCCGTGGTTGTAGAGAGGAGCTTCCAGGTATATTTGGACCCAGATGATGGTCACCAAACCATCAAATGCTCCTAAACTATTTTTCCTCCTGGATGTACAGCAAATTTGTGAGAGCGAGATCAGGATGGATTTACAGTTCACTGGACAGTAATTGATGCAAATGTTCTGATTCAACTTGATGAGTTTATTAGCCTCTCAAAACCCACCATTTTAAAGCGTTTACAAATAATTCAGAATGCATGAAAATTACACTGATAAAATGTTTACCAATATAGACATGTTAGATCGTTAGAAAGCTGAGATTCTCCTTATTTCAACCACCAAGTTCATTTTATGGACACAGCGAGCACCACAGCACAATTATAGCAGCATTCAAAATTTAGCATGACAAAGCAGCTACAACAAGGAAGCATTTCTTTATAACTGCTGTTCAAAAAAGACTTATTATTTTCAAGACTTATTATTTCATGTATATATTCAGAAACTAGAAGGTGTAAGCTTTCAAATAATTTATCACATATGTAATTTGGGCTTACAGTTCCTCAGTTTTTTGCTGTTCCATTTGGGTCTGCAAAATAGACGAATTACCCAGAAATGAGGTGGATATTAAAAAGTTAGTTAGAATGAAAGCAGAAGGAAACCAGACAAGGCAAGTTATTTTATTCAATTTCTATCCAACATTTGGATGGATTAGAAAGTAATAATAAAGATGTTTTATTTAATAGTTAAAAGTTTAGAATCAGGGAACTCAACATAAATAGATTTTAACCTGGCAGAAAACATAGAGCTGAGCACTGTTGATAATGATAGTATTGGCAGATTTATAATGTTTCCTTAAGGGGCCTGAACACTGGTAGTGGACTGGAAGATGAAGGAGGAAAGGAGGTGATTTAAGATGTAGACCATGATAGTGAAAGATGTGGAGGTGAGTTGCAGCTGGTTAAAGTCAGGACCTTGATCCTAATGAAGCGGCTCATGAAGGAGAGACTTGGATACTATTGGCTTTTGGGGAAACTTGGAAAGCAGGAGAAGATTGGTAAAGGCAGACCTAGATGACGTGGCAGTCTGGATGTGCAGCTAGGACTGAAAATATGCCTAGACTTCATCTGACCCTGATTTAAAGCAGATAAGGGTTTTAGCATTATTGCAGTTTTCTGCAAATATTAAAAAGTTTATAAGGTTAATTTGGAGATCAGATTGAAGCAATAAACAGACTGAAATTGATCTTAGTTCAGGGATCTCTATCCTTAAATATTCAGAAGGTAATATATAGGTATAAAGTAAACATCTTGGTGGGTTCTTAAAAATACTAACATTAATAATAATCAAACATTTATATACTCTATTACTACAAGTTTATAACCAATCAGAATAGTCCAACAGCACCACCAGCTGGACGAAATCTGCCACAGCAGATTTAAAACAATGAATTACAGGTTATAGAAACTGAAAGTATTTTCAGGCGTTATTGAACTGAGCTGAGACGCCATTACTGGGTGTTAGATCTCTGCTGGAAAACGAGAGAAATATTGGGAGGATTTTAAGAAGTTGAAACTTTGGTGAGTCCTGCTGTTGAAATAATTCATTAGAAAATGGCAGAGAGACTTTTGGAAAGTTTCCTGAGCTGCCATGTGTGTTCAGAGACTTTCAGAGATCCTGTGTCTCTGAGCTGCAACCACAGCTTCTGTTCAAGCTGCCTGAAGAAATTCTGGGAACAAACTGGAAACAAGAACTGTCCCATCTGTAAAAACATAGAAAAATAAAATCAGTCTATCAAAATTTCACTGTCAGATCCACAGCTGGTCTCAGGAGCTCTGATAGATGTGGCCAAACACCTGGGCAACCTGTCCTTCAGAGTCTGGGAGAAGATGAAGGACAAGGTCCACTTCAGTCCTGTCATTCTGGACCCAAACACTGCTAATAGATACCTGTATCTGTCTGATGATCTGACCAGTGTGAGAAGAGGAGACACAGATCAGCAGCTTCCTGATAATCTAGAGAGAAACACTGAGTACTCCAATGTTTTAGGTTCTGAGGGCTTCAGGTCAGGGAAACACAGCTGGGAGGTGGAGGTTGGAGATCATCCTCACTGGACTGTCGGTTTGGTTAAAGAGTCTGTTGAGAGGAAGGGAGAGAGAAAGCCTTCACCAGAATATGGAATCTGGCGTTTGCTGCATGGTGATGGAAAATACACTAATGGTGATGGTCAGACTCTCACAGTGAAGAAGAGTCTCCAGAGGATCAGAGTCCAGCTGGACTATGACAGGGGGGAGGTGTCCTTCTACGACCCTGAAGACATGTCTCACATCTGCACTCTCAGAGACACTTTCACTGAGAAACTTTTACCTTATTTTGGTGTTGGAAAAGCTGCTGATGCTAAAACATCTGACATCAAAATCAGTAAATCTGAGGTTTCTTTATTATTTTCCAAAAAGTTAACTTTAAAGTGATGAAAGTTATTTGGAAAAATACTTTTTATTTAGTTTCAGGTAAGATAATGATTTTAAGATTGTTAGAAATTAGATGGATTAAAACTAAAATATGAGGCCATCATTTTTCTTGTTGGTTAGTCACACTGTACCCTGATTCTTAATCTTGTATTTTATTTTCTTAACTGCTTTATTGCTTTTTATATTACAATCATGAGCTCTTTTTCAAGGATTTTTTTTTATTTCAGTCTGATGACTATTTTAAATCAGTTTGAATCTTTAAAGTTTTTCACAATATGCTTTGCTACTAAACTAATTCTCAGAAAATATTAAATATAAACTCTTATACTGATGGAAATTAAATAAAGGTAACTTATGAGATAAATAGATTTGATTGAACATGTTGAAAATGTATTAAGATATTTTTTTGCTGATATGTGGTTAATAATTCAAATGAAATTGGTTTTATTCAGATTAAATATTTGATTCTATAAATCTTTTTCATAATTTCTATGAACCGTTTACAATTTAGTTTAAGGGGATTTGACTGATGATTTTATGCATTCATATCCACAAATCACCACTATAAGAGCTGAAATACATAACGGGTGTAGCTTATTATTTCAAACGTTCTACTTTAATTGCTGACTTGAATTTATTCAAAATAAACTTTGACAAATGCTCATACACATCAAAAACTTATAATAACACATTTTGCTTCTTCAGAGGAGCTGTCAGGACTATAACAAATGGTACAATGGATGTGCGGTTCTAGACAAGGTCCAGCAGGAGCCAGTGCCTCTATTAAATTGGCCTTGGCCCCTGCTATGGCCCCTAGTCTGAATACATAAAATCAGTTTCCATAATGAAATAAGATCACAGCTTTCATGCTTAGATCCTATGAAAACCCACTGGCCCCACTTGGGCCCCCAAAGTCATTTTGGTCTGCCACTGTTAATAACTAATTTCTAAAAAAAAAGTAATAATCCTAATTTTGTTTAGATAAAAATACTGCGTATTTATAAACAAAAACTTTGACTAATTGCTGCATTTGTCATATGCTGGTTATGGTCGTTCATCATAACATACGACTTGAGAAAGTTTAAGTTGTAAAGCATTTTATATTAATTTCCAGCTTTAATTAATGCAGCTCTAATTCTCAAGTCAAACTTCCTAGCAGTGGTTGCTTAGTAACAGCATATTTTAGCTCTAGCTGTCAGGGAAAAGGTGAATATGCTTCTTTAAAGTTTTTATTTTCTTTACCCTTCTAATGATATGGGAGGGAACATCAGATTAAAGATATATAACTAAATGTAATTGAACTATTGTTATTTGATAAGAAAAAGTTTACTACTAAAAGTTTTACATCAACTTTACTGAATAAGTTCTAATGAGGCTATTGGATCAGTAAACTAATTTCTCTACAGTTCCACTAAACGGCGCTAAAGTGCCTTTTATAAAAAAAAAAAAAAAAAAAAAAAGATTCATTTCTAAGCTGCACTGACATTGAAGCACCGCATGGGGTCAGTGTTTCTGCACAGCTGTCCATACCTGAATGGACATAAATAAAAAACATGGGTGATTAAACCTAAAAAAAAAAAAAAAATAGTTTTGTAGTTCTCTAAATAAAACTATATCACATTAAATTTCTATCTTGGTTGTTTTTCATGGTTGTGAATTTTTGTGACTGAACTGAAATGTGTGTGATGTGTCCTGCTGGCGCAGCCAAGCACTTGGCTGCAGCACATGCACACTCAGCAAAGGGGATATGGGTTCTGATGCATTAGATGAGGATTTGCTTCACATTGTGTGTTAGAGGTTTGTTGCATAGGTCAGCAGTTGCAGAGGAGAATCAGGACATTGCCCTTCATCTCTTACTATCTCATGTATTATGCATGCCTGCAAGCTCTGGCTCTCAGTTTTCAGGCTGTAAGTAGCCATAATAATAAAAAAAAACCCTGACACATCTCAATAATAATAAATGCCTAGTAAATATAATATTTATTACTGTTTGTGTGTTACTTACACATGTATGCAAAGAAATAATAAACCATAGATCCCCAGGAGTGAACTGGGTACAAAGTTTGCTTATTATGTTCAGTGTGCATTTGGGTCCAATGGTTAAATCACAAAAGACACAAAAATAAAAACTAGAGATTTGATAATTTGTGCAATTCCCATCTCATACTGTTAGATTTTTTATCTGTTAGTGTAAGAGCTTTTATGGCACAGAAACCTAATATAGGTTTAAACTTTCTGCTTGTCTACTGTAAGAAAATGTGCTTATAGCTCTGATAAATTGTTTTAAGGATTTAATTCTGTTGTTTCAGGAATTTTAAAGATAGATGTCCTAAACAGAGATGAGAACCAAATTATAAATGAATTGGGTGTAAGACAAATTGAAAGACAGGTTCAGCCAAAGCCTCCATGGGGCCCTAGGGCCCATTGTTTCTGCCCATGATATTTATTGATTTAAATCAACAGTTCAATAATCAGATAATTTACACACCTACTATGAACGCATCACAGCTCTGCCAGTGCCGAGCCAGTCTCCTGTTTGTATACATCACCTAATGTTACTAAAAGTAATCAAATAAAATAGTACTAAGTTAAGTTACAGTAAAAGTATCACATGCTTCATACTTTTTAGGTGTCAGACATCATTAAATCAAATGATATCAAATATGATTTAAAATAATGGATTAAAAAGCTAGCTGAAACCAGGTTGAGAACAAAATGACATTTTAGGATGAAGAAATAGCTGTTAAAACAATTCAAACATATGTAAATGTATGTAAAATATATATTTAGGAAAATCATATGGGAACATGTAATATTTTTATGTTACATTTCTGTCTCAGTAATGCAATCACTCCTTAAAATCTGTCCTTTTCAGCTTTTGTCTTTGCAAAATCAATTGTGACTTCACTGTAGGAGATCTGACAAACAACTTGTCAAGTAATGACATTACTTAATGTATAAGTAATGATTTCCACATGATTAAATCAGTATGTAAGCAAAAAACCTAACCACGCTCCACTGGTCATCAACAAGTCAGCTGTAGAGGTGGTCAGCAGCACCAAATTCCTGGGGGTGCACATCACAGACAACCTCCCCTCGACTGTAAACACCACCTCACTGGTCAAAAGGGCACAGAAGAGCATGTACTTCTCTGTGGAGGATGAGGAGAGCCCACCTGCCCCCACCCATCCTCACAACCTTCTACAAAAGCACTATAGAGAGCGTTCTGACCAGCTGTCTCACTGTGTGGTGTGGAGGCTGCAGCGTCTCAGACTGGAAAAAGGTGAGAAGAGGGTGAGAACAGCAGAGAGGATCATCATGGCTCCAGTCTCCTCCATTAAAGACATTTCATCCCAGCGCTGTGTGTCCTGAGCCCGTACCATCACCAGTGACCCCTCACATCTCCACCACGTTTCTCTCTGCTGCCATCTGGGAAGAGACTTCCAAGCCACCGCTGCAGGTCTAGCAGATTCTGAAACAGCTTTTTCCCCGCTGCCATCAAACTATTAAACTGTTGAAAACTCTGATACCGTCACAAATCAAGACTCTGCATCACAGTTGTAAACATAATATTTGCACTTCATGGTGAATTTTCTAATTCATTTTAAATAGAACTAAACTCAATATTTCTGCTGCATTTGCACCATATTCTTCTGAACACTGCTGCACTTTAAAAATGGAAATGTTCATTTCACTGCTGTGAGATACTCATGCACTTTTGAAAAGTTGTATGCATTGAAATTTGGTTTTGAATACACTCTGTGTATAAAAAATTACAATAAAGTTTTTCTAAGTCTAAAACAGCAAACAATACATTTGTCTTGGGGATCCTAGGGGCCCCCTAGTTGCTCTGGACCCATAAGTAGTTACTTAGTTTGATTATGCCTCAGACCAACCCTGTTTAAAGGATTCAGTTAAGTTATATTTTTTTGTACAAAATTGCAAAAGATATAAACATTTGTTAGGATGATTAATCTCTAAAATCCAGGAGATTATGTGAATACAAAAAAGCAAAGAGATAAGCTTAAGTAGCTGGGGACCAATGATTCTAAGGATAGAAAGTGGAAACTGGAAAGGATGCAATCTGGTGCGGTAGAGTTTGATATGAAAGATTTTAGTATTTAAGTTTCATTCCAGTCTTGGTTCTCTTCTATTTTTTGTGACGTTAACAAATTGTCCTGAAATCCATGCCCTAGAAGGAGAAAATAAATGTAGACAGACAACTTAGGAGAAAATAAAAGCAAACAAATAAATAATCAAAGAGAAATACAAATTAACACACTTAAACAGGTGAAGTCTGTATATTTTACCTTCAGAACAAACAGATTAGACCACATGAAATGCTAGCTTTAATTAAATTGATTTTAGAGAAAGTCATGATGTGAAGCTTTGCTTCATGAAGGGATTTGCAGGTCTGCTGTGAGGATATTTATACCATTGAGGGACATTTTTACTCTTCTGCTTTGCAGTAAACTTGTTTAGCAAACAGTCATGACACAAAACTTGCTTCCCTTGTTTTGAGAGCTTCGCTGCTTCCTCTTAAGATTCAACAACCAACAATCACATTCAAATCAGCGTAAAGCAATGACCTAACATCCTGTTTATTTGGTAGGACAGCTATTCAAATGTTGAAAACGGATAGAGGAAGATTTATTTCCATTATTAAAAACTCACATATTTGGTCTTAGTTGATTTTTTTTTTCACCATTCTGATCAGATCAGAAAGAGATTGTTAAATTGTTGCTGTTTGCTCTAAAAAGGCAAACGCCACTGTCAGATTTACTGCTATCATTTGCCCTTAAAATAAATATTTTTTGCAGTTAAAGGAAAAGTCTGGTCATATTCAGAATTCAATTTTCTGAAAGT